GCCAGCAGGACAGTCCAGATTCCTGCACTCATGAAACTGGCATTTCAGTGAGAGTGTAGAGGGAAGGGATGGAAAGAAAATGTAGTGCAGTGTAAAAAGGCACTCAGTAGGAGCTAATTTTGATTGGTCAGGGAAGTCCTTTCTGGGGTGGCTACGTTTAAGTTGATATCTGAGTTTAAAAAAAAGCGGGGGGGAATCACTTAAGTTAGGCTCTGAAGGAGGGAAGAATATCTTAGGCAGGGAAAACAGCTAGCACGAAGACTCCAGACAGAAAGGAGCCTGTATATTCAAAGAAGATAGAGGAAGCTAGTTTTTCTGGAACATAGTAGGGTGTGTAGTACGTGAGAGTATAAATCATAGATGCTTTGTGAGTTAGCACAGAATTGGCATTTTAGTCTGAGAGCCATGAAAAGCCATTAGAGGCTTTTAGGCAGGAGACTGACATGATTTGACATTTTTTTAAAAAAACCATAGACTAGGGGCCCGGGGTATATTAAAATATTGTATTAATAATATTAAGAATGGAAGCCGGGAAATCAGTTGGGAGGCTCTTCCAGGTAAGAGATGATGCACTTGGTCCAGAGACACATCAATGGGGATGTAGTGAGCAGACTCAAGATCTATGGTAGTTGAGAGGTGAAGATGTGGATAGGTTATAATGAAAGGAATCAAGGAAGACACCTGGAGTTTTGTCCTGAACAGCTACGTTTGCTGTGATGAGCAAAACCAGGGGATGAGTTCTGCTGTTACTGTAATAATGGGTTTACTCATTGCGTGCTTACCACGCGTCACTGCGCTAAGCAAAGTGCAGATTTTTCTCCACTGAAAGTTCACAACCCTGCCAGGAAGTGCCTCACCTTAGTTTTGGTAAGAAGCAGGCTCGGAATTGGGAGCGGGGACTGCCTCCCCGCTAAGACGTGCCGGAGGTTGAGTCTGAATTTAAGTCGGCCTGATCTCCCCGGTCGCTTATCTCTATAAGGTACTGCGCTTCTTTTCCATGAAACCGCGACAATTTTCCTACGTGGTTGTCGGGAACCTTAAAGTAAGATCTCCAGGCAGGGCGTCGCCTGTACCAAGTCTCAGTTCAGCCTCCTTCCCTCAGAGCCTGTATCCCGCGCGCGGCACAAGGTTAAAATTTGAGGCTTGTAACCAAGATAAAGTTCCCTCCCTCCATTGGTCGGTGCTGGCGGAGAAGCCTCGTGATTGGGCAAAATTCCGAGGAGGCGGGGAGGAGGGGGAGAGTCGCGTATCCCTGGTGCCCTCATTTGGCACCGCCCCTACCTTTTACGTGATTTTCTACGACGCTGGAGACCAGAGCCTGAGCGGCTTCCTGCGGCGGCGCAACCCTCGACGTTTCTTCTTCTGATTGGTCAAAGGCAGCGGCTGCAGTTCCGAAGCCTAACTGGCTGCCCAAGCCGCCTCGGAGGTGAAGTGTACCGCGCTGATTGGCTCCGACGTGCCGGCCGCGTGTGATGTCCCGGGCGGCGATTGGCCGCTCGCCTGCCGGGGGCTCCTTTCACCGGGACTCGGGACTCCCGGGAAGTGGGCCGGCAGAGGAGGGGGGCAAGCTAGCTCTCTGTGCGGACCTAGTAGAAGACCCCCCCCCGCCCCCGGTGTGAGGCCGCCTCACCTGGCCAGCAGGGCTGGCCAGCCTACGCGGCGGCGGAGGAGGCCGTGAGGAGTACGCGGGACGGGGGCCGGCGCGGAGGGACCATGGCCCCGCAGAACCTGGGCACCTTCTGCCTGTTGCTGTTGTACCTCATCGGGGCCGTGATCGCCGGGTGAGGGAGAGGCGCCGCGGGCCCGGGGCCGGGAGTCAGGCTTTGCTGGGCGCAGGCGGGGGCAGGGGGCAGGGGCGCTGGGGAGCAGCGTGGCCCGGCCCGGGCAGTGGAGAGGGGCATCGCCCGAGGGGCGGCTCGCGCGGGCCGGGCTAGTGGGGTGCGAGGAGAGCCCGCGTGACAAGACGGAGGACCCCACAGAGGCCCTGCAGAGCTGGGCTTGCCCCGAAGAGTGGGAGTTGGATACGGTGCCTCACGCGACATTTGGGGATCGGACGGAGTGAGCGGAAGGAATGGGGCACACGCCGGCTGTAATGGAGACGGTCCCAGTGCCCGGCCGAGGTGGAGGCGCTGGACGCATCTGCGGTGAAGGAAGAGGGCTGTTGTGTCCTGCCGAGCCGGAGAAGGGAGAAGCGCAACGCGAAGCCTGCGGCGGGCATCGAGGGGCTGCCGCTGAAGTGGGTGGCTGGTGGTGCCGGGCCAAGCGAGACTGCAGGCAGGGAAGCCGAGTGTGGACCGGAGGAAACGGGGTTGAGGAAGCAAGAAGTCCCTTTGGAGAGCGCTTGGACTTTGCAGCATCTTGAGCTGTTCAACCGAAGTTGTCATTGTGCCCCCCCCCCCTCTCTCTCTCTCTCTGCGGTGCCTCTTGAGAAACCGAATGCTCTCAGTGGGAGGAGTAGTTCACCGAGAGATAGTACTGGGATTCTGGCCCACATGTCCTCGCCCCGCTTACGAATCACATAACCTGGAAAGAGCTACATAAATTTCCCTCTGCAACAGGATAATATCATGGGGATGCTTATGCAGAGAAAAGAGGCAAACGATGGACTCTTGATCCTTGCAGCCTTTAAAATTCAAGATCCTATAATCCTGGTGACCAGGATATGGTATGGTAGACTTGTATTTCAGAATGCAAGAAATAGTAGATCTGGGGCTGGGGATTTAGCTCAGCGGCACAGTGCCTGCCTGGGAAGCACGAGATTGTGAGTTCGATTCCCGGTACCGGAACCCCCCCCCCCAAAACAACAACAACAACAACAAAAAGAAATAGTAGATCTTAGCTGATGGCGATTTATAGAATATTCTTTTTTATTCTTTTTGTTTTTTTTTTCTGGTACCGGGAATTGAACTCACGACCTTGTGCTTGCCAGGCAGGCGCTGTGCCTCTGAGCTAAATCCCCAGCCCCAATTTAGAGAATATTCTAAGTAGGGAAGGTGCAACCTACATGGCTTTAAAATTTAAGTACTTGTTCTCGTAAAGATTAAACTTTGCATATATGCTCAAACCCTTTGCATATATGTTTAAACTTTGTTGTACTTTTTCCTTGTGAAATTTTTAAAAGTTAACGTCTCCTAGGTAATGTTTTGTTGTTTTGTTCTTAATATATTTCTTAAAGTCACAAGTACCCCAAGGTATTTAATAAAACATCAATATCAATACTTTTAATACTTTATTTTTAAACTTCAGGCATTCATAAAGGAGTTTCTTAGTCATGAAATGTTGAGGCTGAGCTATGCCTCCCATCTTTTCCCCTTGTTTTTTCTGAGCTTTTATCTTGCAGGGTGGGTAATGGGATTAATTATGAACTACATCCCAAATCCCTTTATTTTGAGACAGGGTTCATATGAGCCAAATTTTTAAGCCTCACTCTTAATAGAGCTAGCCCTTTTTTCATTTAGTTCCTATCTCAAGAAATGTCAAAACTTTACATATTTGGGGGAACCCTATTTTATAATGGAACCCCTTGTGGGTAATAATTTTTAAAAACTGATACATAAAATAAATGATTTTTTGTAAACTATGGCTGAAAGCTAAATGAAATAATTTTTAAATACTGTTTTATATTACCTAGGTCTTGGAATGCCAATATATTTTTCCTTGATACATTTTTAAATTACCATCACTGCTAGATCAGTGTCCCAGTTGTGAATCAATGTCTCAATTGTGAATAACTTTCCTATCATTACGGAGATAATGCATTTTCTGAATAAATTCTGGTGCCTAAAATTACCTTGGCAAGAGGAGTCAGTTTTTAGTGTTCTTATTTATTTATTCATTTAATTCATTGAATATTTATTGATGTTTTCAATAGAATAGCTTGGACCCCAGTCCTGAAAGTTTATTATGGTCATAGTCTATCTTCCCATTACGGTTGCCCATTCCCTTTATAATTAATTTGATTCCAGCATTTGATTCCCTGATAAGGTCAGTGGGTTTCTATCTTATCTCCCGGTTCATGCCTCTAAAACATAGAGGCTTCAGCAGGGTGTCGTGGCGCACACCTGTAATCCTAGCACTTATGAAGCTGAGGCAGGAGGATCACTGTGAGTTTGAGGCCAGCCCAGGCTACATGGTGAGTTCAAGGCCAGTCTGAACTACACAGTGAGATCCTGTCTCAAAATAAGACAAAACAAAAACATACAGGCTCCTGCATATGAGCTCTAGAAAATGTCTGTAGTAAAGATGTGATCTAGATAAACTCTTAGAAATGAATGCAAACATGTTTTCTGCTTTGCTTTCAGCACACCTAGATGGGTGTTAGTCTCTTCACAATTGTTATTTGGGCTTTGGTTTAACCCGGGTGTGTCCAATCTGTGGCCTATGGGCTACTTCACCTGTCTTTAAATTTTTAAAATATTATACTAAAAACTATCATAAAAAGTTTTGTTACTTACATACATTAACTATATCTCATATGCAGCCCAAAACAATTCCTCTTTACTCAGCGTAGGCCAGGCAAGCCGAATGGTTTCAACATTATTTTAACCTCTAAAGTTAGCTTCAGGGTACCTTATCTTTAATGTTCTGAGCTTATTATTAGGACATTTATGTAACATAATCTTTTTGAATAAAGAAAACCATTCTTTGAGGTTGTTATTTGCCCCTTGGGAACAGTCAGAGGTCATTTGGAGCCAGTATAGGGAAAAAGAGTTGATTGGATTATATGATTATTGCCCAGAAATAACACATGACCATAAAATAAGAAAATGGTTCCTTTGCCCTTTATTTTTTGCAGTGCTGGGGATCAAACACACGGCCTCATGCATGGTAGGCAAGCACTCTACCCTGTGCTGTGCCCTCAGACCCTAGATAAATTGTTTATTTTATGAGAGCAGTTTTAAAAGAAGAGTATCACAGATGTATTGAATAACATTGCCCCTAAAATACTTTGCTTCTTCAGCTACGCTGTGATTATTCAGTGTATAAGACTCATGAAAAATTTTGGTGTGTTTCCTGTGTGCATATGTGCATGTGTGTCACATACACCTTCATTTTTGTACCTCTTTGCATGGACAGACCTGCAACGTAAAGGGGGAGAAAAACTCAGTTTAAAAAAATATATAATTCATTAATGAAGTATTCTGTCCTTTCCAGGCGAGATTTCTATAAGATCTTGGGAGTTCCGCGCAGTGCCTCTATAAAGGACATTAAAAAGGCCTACAGGAAACTAGCCCTGCAGCTCCATCCTGACAGGAATCCTGATGACCCCCAAGCCCAGGAGAAATTCCAGGATCTGGGTGCTGCTTATGAGGTGAGTCAGGAAAAAAAGATGATATGTGAACAAAGCCTATGGAGCTGAAAAAGACTACAAAATGCAGAGAAATGCTCCTTTAGGTCATTTCTACTTAAAAATAGATAATAGATAAAAGTCAACTAGAACTCAATGCTATATTGTGCTGGATATTACAGTTACATTCATGTTTGTAGATACCATTTCCTACCCTTTTTGTGTTTATATTCATGAGGGAATACCGATGAAGCGTAAACATAGAGATTATAAGTAAAGATGGATCTATCAGTACATCAGCCTCGGAGATAGAGCCAGAAATACCAACAAACCTAAATGAGGGTTTCACACCTAAATGCCCGTATGGACCAGACAAATAACAGGCAGAGATAAGAGATAACACATGATAATGGACATTCTCCCTCGCTGTTGGTTCCCAGTAAAGACTGGTGGAGGCTGAAATGATCTACAACCTCCTTTCCTTTTTTTTTGTTTGTTTTTGTCTTGTTTTTGGTTTTTCTCCAGTACCGGGAACCAAACTCACGACCTTGCGCTTGCCAGGCAGGCACTTTGCTGCTGAGCTAAATCCCCAGCCCCTCAACCTCCTTTCCTCTACCCAAAGGAGCTGATGATACTCAACCTTGTCCAGTTTTTGTCATATACAGATGCAGTCACTGTGTTGCTAGGTATTGTATTGGGAGTCCTCCTTCTCTCCATACCTTCAAGAATCTTACAGGACAGAATTGTTAAGCCAGGACCATGAATGAACATGAGAGGGTTGATAGCCCCTCTTAGATTATGTGTAACACTTTGTTTCTTGTCAGTAATATGGATTCCGTATTTTACACACGATTTCTCAGGAAAGTCACATTATTTTCTGGGAACCCAGTATGCAAAAGTACTGCCTAGGGAACTTAACGTTACAGTGCTCTGTGAGGAATCTAGCCTGCACTTTATCTGTGGCCTGTGCAGATGGTACATGTATCATTTTTTCAAACTGCAGCTTATTTAACTCTGATAGTCTTTCCAGTCACTAGCTTTGCTTTTCTCTTTGTAATCAGGCAAGACTTGATTGCCTTTCGCTCTAGGTCAATGAGTGCTCACAAATCAGAATCTCAGTACAGCATGAATAGACGAAGCGGCTTTTGTGAATACAGATTTGTTTTCTCCTCTGAGCTGGGATTACTGTTGACTTTAATTGGCTAAGAATCTGTATGTTGGTTGGCCAGTCCATTAAGGGCTGCTTATTTTATTCTTTTAAATAAATAAGCCAGGCAAGGTGGTTTATGCCTGTAGTCCCAGCTCCTTGGGAGGGTGAGACAGGAAGATTCCTTGAGCCCAGGGATCCAAGCCAGCCTTAGCAATTTAATGAGACCTCGTCTCAAAAGAAAGAAGTAAAATAGTGTCTAAAACAATGGAATAAAATTGCATTTCTTAGGTGAAGAGGAAGCCAATGATAGTAGGGGATTTTTTTTTTTTTTTTGAGACAGGGTCTCGCTACGCAGTTCAGGCTGGCCTTGAGCTCAGTTTGTAGCCCATCTTGGTCTCTAACCCACAACGATCTTCCTGCCTCAGCCTCCTGAATGCTGGGATTACAGGTGTGTGTCACCACTCCTGGCGATGGTAGAGGATCTTACAGGCACTTTTTGGGTCATTACAGAACCTCTGGTATCCAGAAAGAACCTGATTTTAAATGGTCTTTGTTTTCAGATTTTGAAATGGTGCTTTTTATAGAACCAAATACAATGTTCAGTTCTTTGCCTAGATAATATCAGAGAAGTAGACTGGAAAATTAAAATATTGGGAATACAGGTTGTGTAATAATAAGAACTTGTTTTTGTTCTTAGGTTAACTTACCCATTTCTGCTTCCCCAAGCCACTTATTTTCTAAGGATGTTTTCCCAAACATTGTTCTTCTCATCTGATCTATCATGGTGCCTTTATTACAGTGGTATTGGGCACGTAGTGATTTCTGAGCACTCACCTCTTTGTCTTTGCTTTGAAAGAATGCTCACTCTCTTATAACTAAAAGGTCTGTGTATCCTTCTAAGTAGATCTTAAATGTTTACCATGGTCCCTTTACATCATTCAGTCCCTGAGCCAAAAGTGTGTCCAGATGAATATGCCAATAAGGAAAGTCAGGCCTTTCCTTTTTTTTTTTTCCTGTCCAGCGAGGTCAACATACCCCATCTCCTTCCAGACTCGCTTTCACTAGGTCACGTGACTTTGGTTTTTTTTTTTTTTTTTTTTTTTTTCCTTCTTCAGAACATAGAAACCTACTTTCAGAACATAGAAAGCCATTTGATCTTTGTATTTTGGGGTATCATACAGAGAGTAAATTCATTGAGAAAGTGTATAGCCATGACCGTTCATATAGTTCTGTAGAACTGCTGAAGGTAAGAAATTCTTTTCAAGCAGTGAAACTGACTTTGAACAGCCGTCATAGAATAATATTCCTTCTTCTCAGTTTGAACTCAGGGAGTTCTAAGACAAAGAAAAAAATATGGCCAGCAACATTCTTCCAAATGGATTTCTGCATATGCCAAAACATGAAAGAAAGGAGTATGAGACTAGAACAGCATAGCTCTTACTGGAGGGCTTTTCATCCTATCTCCTTAGCTTGATCTGCCGGGGTCACAGCCTAGTTTAGTGACTAGAGAGAGAATAGTCATAAGGATGTGCAGCACCAACACTGGAGTCAAACCGCATGCCAGGGAAGCCCAAGTCATCCATCCTGCCCCTCTCCTGGTACCCCTTCCCTGACAGCACAGCCACATTGTTCAAGTCTGGTGCTTAAGTTACTAGGTGAGGTTTGATAACTCTATATTAAATATATGAGTTAGGCACGGTGGAGTGGATAGCACATCAAAAACTGTTAGAGAAAACAACATATAAACATGCCTTAATACATATAGTAATGAAAAGTATACTTCCTGAAGTCTTACATACAGTATCAGAGCGAAAAAAGAACCATAAATATGAGTGTACCTTGACTGAGTGTTACCAAGTGTGATGTCTTCTCCACTGGCTTCTACCTCCAGGTGCTGTCAGATAATGAGAAACGGAAACAGTATGATACTTACGGTGAGGAAGGATTAAAAGACGGTCATCAGAGCTCCCATGGAGACATTTTTTCACAGTGAGTAATTTACCCATCTGCAAAATATTGGTGTCTGGAAATGGATTATTTAGTGATTTAATGAGCAAAATTATTCTTGTAAGCAGCAAGAAATCCCCACTCTCATGCCGAAGCTCCCTGTTTCATCCTGTCGACAAGAAAGGGGCAATTACGATAACCACGGTGGGAGAAGGGTGGAGGCGCCTTAGCTCCTTTCTGGAAGTGCGGGGCGGCTGGGATAATAACCCCTCTGCTCTTCACTCCTTGAACCCCTCTCCATTGGCATTTGAGTCTCTGTAAGATAATGCCATGTACTGGGAGATCTTAGTCTGGGGTCTGGGTCTGAAGTTATAAGCGGAAGATGTTCGAATTTGCATTTTTAAAGGGAAGGAGTTCATTTCTTTGTTCAGATTCTCAAAGACATCTGTGATCCCTTCCACAGAAGAAGCAAGAATCACTGTTGCACGGTAGCTTCTTCCGTTTAGTGTCTAGGGAGGACAGGAGACTTCCAGGACTTGGAAAGCTGTGTGATGATATGATTAGAGTAGCTTCCTCTTTCTCTTTCCTGAGATTAGTTTAGCTGTTTTAGCCTTTGGGGGAGGTGTCTCTTCCCCGTGATGTTCACAGTGCTCTACCTGGGATATCAGAAAGAGAGAACGCTTCCCCAGCCACTCGCCGTCCTCCCAGTGTTTAAGGTTCAGGGATCCAATCTCCGGGGCTGGTTGGTGGGAGAGGCAGTTATATAGCTGCCATCACCACCATTTTAATATCGCAGTCTTCTAAAATGCCACCAAAAATTGACATAACATTGGAATGCCACCACAGATGAAGTCACTGTTTTTATTCATCTCAAAGTGATAATTTTGTTACTTACACAAACTAATTTCAGTCTTCGAGAGGCCAGAATTTACTTTTCCCTAAAGATTAGAATTTTACTAAGGCTGATGCTATTTTAGCTTATTTCAGATATGTACCCCAGCTGGGCATGGTGGCTCATACCTGTAATCCCAGCACTGGGGAGGCTGAAGCAGGAAGACTGTGAAGTTGAGGCCAGCTGGGGATACACAGAGAGTTCATGACCAGCCCATATTGCATACTGAGGCCCTGTCTCAAAAAAAAAAAAAAAAAATTGCACTGAGGATTTTTATACAGTGTAGTAGCTTCTTTCACCAAGGTTAACTTCTCAAAAGTACATAAAGCGAACACTACATATGTTCAAAATTGTTCTTAGAAATTTCTTTGATTTCACCATTATACAGCCTTATATATACTTTACTCTTTCTCAATAAATCTGGCCTATCTGAATTTTTTCAGTGTTGAAGCAGATTATTTTATTGGTAGAGACCAACATTTGATTTATTAGCATACTGTATGTGTATGTGCTAAACTATATAAATGGGCCGTGTTTTATGAAAAGATAAAATTTTTGGTGGACAGTGATAGACTTGCAATGTAGTTAATATTATATAAACTCAAAACTGTGTATGATGTATGATAATGTATTAGAAATACGCAGTTTTCCACAGTGGGTCGGTAACCAGCAATAATTTGTCAGTGTGAAGAAAACTAAGTAATCATGAGACATAAACTCAGATTTCTTTTTCTGATGATTTCACACTTTTCTATAGCTTCTTTGGAGATTTTGGTTTCATGTTTGGAGGAACCCCTCGTCAGCAAGACAGAAACATTCCAAGAGGAAGTGATATTATTGTAGATCTAGAAGTCACTTTGGAAGAAGTGTATGCAGGAAACTTTGTGGAAGTAAGTTCAAACAATATAACTGCTACTATCGACTTTCAGAACTTGTACGTTGACTAAAACTAAGAGGTTTTAGTGTGCTTTCTCTGTGTGTTAGAGGATGAGGTGAGGCAACTGATGCACAGAATTGAATTAATCATAATTCTTGGTAAATGATACACTGTTGCCACTGTTTATAAATGTATTACCCAGCCCAAGAACTAAGTAAAACAGTGCCTTAACTTGATTTACCTACACGCCGCTTCCCTGTTCCATCCCCTTTGCCTCCCTTCCAGGCTAATCCAGTAGCAGTATCTGAATTTTGTCTTTATTGTTCTTTCGCCATTCTTGTTTATTACTATATATGAATACCTGAATAATATATTGTTTATTTTTCTTGTTTTTGAGTTTGTAAAATGGTATCACTGTTATGTTGCTAGGATTCATCCTTGCATCCTTGTTATTTGTAGTTATCATTCTGCTGGATAAAATTTCATCGTGGCCGCAGTTTAGGCGTTTAGGTTTTTTCCAGTTTCTTTTATATTCCAAACAGTGTTTCTGTGAACACTCTTGTGCATATTCTAGATACATGTAAACAAGCAAGAGTATCTCTAGGGTTAATATATGTAGAGTAGAACTGCTAGGTAATATGAACCTGTGTTCATGTTTTATCAGATAATGTCATAGTTTTTGAAATAGTGCCAAGCTTTCACCAACAATTTATGAAACCTCTAGATTTGCTACCTGTTTAATATTTGGAATTACTAGACTTTGTTTTTTCTTTGCCGTACTGAGGATTGAACCCAGGGCTTTCACACTGAACTGTATCCCCACCCTGTCCCTTTTTTTTTTAAGATGAAGTCTCACTAAGGTATTGAGTTGCCTGGGCTGGGCTTGAACCTGTGGTCCTCTCGCCTTAGCCTCCCACAGGGCTCTGCACTGCCACCTCTTAATTTTTACTCATCAGATAGGTATAAAGCGTTACCTCTTTATGGCCTTGGTGTGTTTTCTTGATTACCAATTACAAGAAGCATCTCTTCATGTTTGTTGCCCATACGAAGTGCCCATTTTTCTTTTCTTCTTTTTGTTTTACCTTTTTCTTAGTGATTTCTAAGAATTCTTCCTGAATTCTAAGAATTTTACTGAAGTAGCAGTACTTTATTCTTGCTACCAACTCTTGGTTGGCTCACCGTAATACAAATATATCCTTTGGGCTTTTAACTTAGCTTTTGGTTACATCTAATGTTTGTTTCCATGAAGAGTAGTATTGCTTGTTTGTTTTTCGTGCTACTAGAGATCGAATCCAGACATGCTGTGCCACTGACCTAAATTCTCAGCCCCGTTTTAGTTTTTATTTTGAGACACAGAGTCTCACTGAGTTGCCCAGGCAGCACTTGAACTTGCAACCCTTCAGCTTTTGCCTGGGATTACAGGCGTGAGCCATTGCATCTGAAACAAAAGCATTAGTTTTCATGTAGTCAAATCTATCAGTCTTTTATGGTTGGTTTTTGTGTCTTATTTTAAGAAATTGTGCTCTAAGAAGAAGCAGCTATGTTTTCTAGTATATCTGAGAGCGGTTATTTTGCAATTTATTCAGCTTCTTAAAATTCTGGAATGGATTTTGCTGCTAGACCTCCTGCTTTCAAATCCTGGCTCTGCCATGTATGAGTTACATGGTCTTGGTCATTTTCCTTAACCTTTAAGTGCTGCCATTTCCTCATCTATAAAATGAAGATGATAACGAGACCTGCCTTGTAAAGTTGCAAGGAATAAATAAATGTGTAAATGTGCCCAAGTGTTTAGAACATTACTTGACAGGTAGTAAGTGCTATAAAATATGTGTTCTCATTACTGTACTCTTGCTATAATTTACTTGTTGACCTGGGTTTTCATATGTTGGTAGGCTCAAAGGGATTTTTCTCTAAACTATTGTGTCATTTGCTGTGTAAACATGTTGTCTTATGATTAGGCAAAAATAGAAATGCATTTCTTGATACAGGTCAACTTCACTTAGAGAGATCAGACATTTGATTGCAGTCAACTACAAAGAGATTGGTCACTGTATCTCTTCCTATGTGTTAAAAGTGTGTGAATGGAGCTAGCCCTGGAAAGTAGTCCTAGGTCCAGTTGCTTGAAAAGAGGAGACATTTTCATTAATCATAGGGGTTAGATGGTAACTACGTAGCTTCTTTTGAACATAGTGGTTGTCCTTCAGGGGTTATGCGTTACACAATTTAAGGTTTATTAAAGAATAGTCATTCTAGGGAATGGGGATTTAGCTCAGTGGCATAAGAGCCTGCCTGGCAAGCCCAAGGTCGTGAGTTCGATTCCCGGTACCGGAAAAAAACCAAAAAAA